CTTGAAGGAAACCTACGAGAACTTGGAATTGGGTCTTCGTAAACTTAAATATGAAGACCATGGTTGGCAAGTGTGTGGGGACTTGAAAGTCTTGTGCATGCTGCTCGGGGAACAAGTTGGGTATACCAAATACCCTTGTTTACTGTGTCTCTGGGACAGTCGAGACTGACAAAATCACTGGACCAAGAAGAGTTGGCAGCCAAGGGTGCTAACAGTCGGTGAAAAATATGTCCTCCGAGAAACTTTGGTACCTTCCCATAAAGTTCTTCTACCACCTCTCCACATAAAATTGGGATTGATGAAGCAATTCGTAAAATCACTTCCAAGAGATGGAGAATGCTTCAAATACTTGGTCACCAAGTTTCCATGCCTGTCGGAGGCAAAATTGAAGGAAGGTGTGTTCATCGGACCAGACATTAGAAGGCTTATAGTTGATCAAGAGTTTGTCAATACCATGACGGATCCTCAAAAAGAAGGGTGAATTGCATTTAAAGAAATCGTACAGAATTTTTTAGGCAATAACAAAGATCCTCACTACAAAAAGATCGTCGGAAGAATGCTGAAAGCATTTCAAGCTTTAGGTTGCCTGATAAATTTGAAAGTGCATTTCCTCCAATATCATCTTGACTACTTTCCTGAAAATTTGGAAGCTGTGAGTGAGGAACAAAGTGAACGATTCCACCAAGACATTAAAGAGATGGAAAGGAGATACCAGGGAAAATGGAGCATTACAATGATGGCAGACTACTGTTGGATGCTTCAGAGAGACATTCCAGATGCTACTCACAAGCGTAAATGCACCAAGAGGAGCCTCACAAGGAAAAAGGATCGAGTTTAGTGTGTGTAGGTGAGCTCATTTCAGTTCAAAAAAGGATTTTCATGAAAATATTGTAATAAAACTTTAATTTTATAAGTCTATTTCCATTTATTTTGAGGTATTGCCTTATTTAACATAGTTACCTAAATTGTCAGGAAACGTGATGTCCTATGACAAAATGGAGGTCATTTTTGGATTCAGTGCATCAAAAAACATAAAGATTACATGGAATAACCAAAACAGCTCTCGAAAAACTTTTTAAGCAGACCTGTGATACCTTTCTGAGTTCTGGATTGATTTTGGGTTGTGGAATTGGCTGGCTATAGTTGCTGAGTCATAGTTCTTTTTTAAGTACTGAAGAATGTCTATTCTTTTGATATAAAATGAGCCACCTGGATCTATTTCACTTAGTAAATTCTGATAATGTTAATATTGAATTCTGGCTGTAATAACATCAATTTTGCTTCATTTCATTTTATATATTTATTTGTTTTTAAACCAGTATGCTGTTTGACTCTCAAGGACTTTATTGTTTTGACATTCCACATTTTTGCCGCATTTTTTCCCCCCTTTGCTTCTAGTATCATCAGTATTTAAGTGTTCTTTTGGCTTTAACCAAGATGTATCATAAACACTTAAGCTATTCATATGTACTCTCTCTCTTACCTGGAAGCTCATTATTTTTTGGCTTGGAGAGATCTTCCTCCAAAATCACATTAACATTAACTTGGCTATATACTGTATATCCATTTCACTTCTTTGGCACAATTCTGAAGTGATTTGAGTGATTTCCTTCTCCAGTGGAGTGTATTTAATTTGATTCCTTGCCTGTGCATGTCATGGGTTACATTTCTGGGAATGTACACTCCTTAAAATTGATAGTATCATTGCAAGGCATAAAGCTCCTTTCCACTATAAGATCTATCCATGAATGGGCTATTTGAAGTATTTTTTGAGGACCCAGATTGTTGGGGGGCGATATGCTGACTCTGTAAAACTGCTTAGAGAGGGCTATAAAGCACTACGAAGCGGTATATCAGTCTAAATGCTATTGCTATTGTGGATTGGTTTTTTTTACAGTGGATACAGTGAATATTGTATATTCAATTTAGATGTTATTATCGGAGAGAGTAAGGAAAAATGGAAGTTTCATAAAATAAATGTAGGAATGAAAATTTGCAAAAATGTTTTTATTGCCCTTATAAATATAATTGCATTCTGTAGAAGTTCTGTAAAGTCTTGATCACTTAGATCAGTGACCTTAAAGAGCATTGGCCATCAGAAGGCAGTTTGCATACATTCTTTGTTAAAGAACTGACCACCTGTCCTATGTCTAATGTAAATAGATTAAATCAAAGGAGAAAGATAGGCAATACGCCCTAAACAGCAACTGAAAAATACATATTAACAATCTTTTCCATTACGTTGAAATAATTTGAATTCAAGCTTTACTCACTTTGAAACATCAAAATCAGCTTGTTTGGGGAGAAAACAACTATACTAAATTCCAAATGAGCTCTTTTGATTATTTTGGAAGTATCTTGCATATAAAACAAACAAACAAAAATGTACTCACAATATAGCTCTTGAACTCAAGACCGCTCCCAAAATTTTCAAATCACCATATTTTGTACTGAAGATATGTTTTGCCCAGGAAACAGGATGATTTGAACTCAAAGCAGTTTATATAAATTTATGTTGTTATTTGCAAATCTGTAGCCTCCTTTGAACCTTTGTAGAGAAATCATCGTTGGCGTCATCGTCTAAACATTCAACCTACATAATTACTTCATATATTTTTATGAAGCTCTATGCCAGCACTCAACAATGGTAATATGAAATGAGTGAGACTTCTTTCATAAATTATAAGAGAAAACTTTAGAAATCTGAATTATAAGAACTGAGGTGGCACAGTGGTTAGGGTGCAGTACTGCAGGCCACTTCAGCTGACTGTTATCTGCAGTTCAGCAGTTCTAATCTCACCGGCTCAAGGTT